TTTATTTGACTACGGTATGTTGAGCTACCTGTAGAAATCGCTTTGTTCCTACTTATTACCATGTGAACCACTCGGCTATTTTGCACACGTCTCAATGTGAAAAGTGTCGTGAGTGCAATAAAGAGCTTTTCATTTTGTTAGCATGCCTCCGTTTCTCAATGCTTTTCATCCCACGAGACTTTTTAAGCCTTACATTTTCCCCTTAACACACTATTGTTCAACTGCACGGGATAATTTGACTTGGATTGGTAAATGAGAGACGCGTGATATGATTACTAAGGTGACACTGAGTTCATCCATGTTTAATCTAACCCACAGGCTGTAGCGTGTGTTTAACACAAAGCTCGCAGGAAATCCCCCTCATGACACAGCGGCTGTGGCGGTTTAAAATAGTTTCTATGTGCAAATGGTTTAGTTTTGTTATCGCTTTTATTTGCAAAAGTACATTTGGTACTAACAGCTATCTTGTACCTGTAAGCTCATCGCTTCATCGCTTGAAGTAATTTGAGCGACAGTGATGAACATCCGTCTTCTCTTCATTAGGCCGTTGCAACAGTGCAATACAGGTCGAACCAAAAATTAGCACAACTCATATGATTCCAACAGTTAACCGATAGCTTGTCTTCTCTAAGTACTGGAAAGTCGGTTAAGGAGAAGGTCAATTAGATCCTCTTGTTATTTTCGACGAAGTGGTTTAAAACAGCTTCTGGCAAGTGTGACAGAATTGACTGCGCACTAATGATAGGACATGAATTTAAGTTGCCGCTGTCTGCTTTACTCAGAAGAGCTCGCTGTTATACACGAGCAACTTCACTTTTAGTGTACAAGGCGTTGATACATGTCGTATCCCGTAGAGAAGTCACTAAATTTACCGGACCAATTGTTATGGTAAACTTGTATCTCATTTTTAAGCCACTTACAGATGACACATGCTAGGTTCAACAGTAATGTCGAGGAAACCTAGTCAGCCGAAAGCCAAAACTCCAACACGGATGGCGAGTTAAGGCCATTTAGAAACTTCGCTCACATTCGATTAATTGGTAGCTTGTTGCGACTGCCGAGTACGCGTGCCGTATAGTTGTTGAATCGCACCAGCTTTGGTTAACCTAAGTAATTACGCCTCTAAACCCCATTATGAGGCTTCCAAATGCGGTCACAACTATTGGGACGATAAGCATCAAGTCATATTACCCTGTCTTATACACCCGGAAATAATCAGCTTCTATGAAATTTGATGATATCTGTGTTTACCTGCACGTTGACTTTTCCGAAGTAACCTCCACTGGATTTGAAAACAACAACATTAATACACAAAACGCTTCGGTCCAATGCGTCATACGGTCCTTTAATGACAAACCTGCTTGTCACTTTACACTATGATAATGAACGACCATTTACAGCTGGTGAAAGGTGAATGCTTGACAAGTCCCATAGGAAGATCGGAGTGAGGGTTACAAAACCGAGGTTTAAAATGATGGGCAATTGGCAATATTGCTGGTTTAAGTTGACTCACCAAATTATTAATATGAAGAGATATGCTGGTCTTCTCACAACTATGTTACGGAGAGGGGTCGTGCGAACACATTCGTTTGCGTTATTTCGTCCTCAGATTGAAACGGGGTATACCACGTAATGTAGAAGGGACAGACTGCCATCAAGTTATGATTAGAATAGCGCTATGTGGGGGCAAACATGACGTGAGTTGGAAGAGCGTTCCAGGTTCGGAATACCCGATGGGTGAAATAGTTTTGTCGGTAATCAAATCAACCGTAATGCTTGGTCAGTTTGAACTGGTACCTTTCAACATAATGTTGTGACTGACTGGTGATAGTTCGCGACAGGCGTGATTTAGATTCTCCAGTAGTTGGCCCATCATGACAAGTTCTTGCGGTTGTTGATGTTCACCATCAACTGAGAATCATAAGTGCTTCTAATTCCCACTGACCAGCGGCCAACCTTTCCTTGCCTCAGCCTTGTGCTGCGTGGAATTTTTTAGATATCGATGCTGGCAGCCAGGGAAGAAACAGTATGTAGCATGCATGCACTGAGACATACCAGAAAACCTCTTCCAATCGACTTCAAATGAGCTGCATAAACAAACGGGTCCACAATGCAAAACCAAAGCATTTAAATATAATATAATCTACCAAAATTACTGATAGGGTTAGACAGAGAGAATGGAGCTCTTTATTGATAGTTCGTTTTTCCAAGTAATGTGCCACATACTTTCATGGCTCCTACACCCAATTGTACATCACATCTCCGGCACCGAAACTTCTAATGTTAATATTGTGGCCCCATTTGCGTGTTATAAATTTTAACGATACATTCATTGTCGATTGGTTAAAATTCGGCGCCTAAACGCTCCATTCTACTTACTTAAACCCAGTGCATTGGTTTGCAAAAGGAGTGCTTTTGATAAACGCTAAGACTATCATAAGGCTATTTGCGAATATAAGGTTGGTGGCCCTGGAAAGTCGCACCTTCACCTACCACTGCTTGCTGTTAGCACACGCGTTCCCATAATGGGGGCAGAAATGGAGCAAATTTACTGGACCAGATACACATCATAACAAGGAAAAACAATAAATGGAACATGTTACCCAAGCTATATAAACGTTTTATCGGTGGTTCTGTGCGTAACCCAGATTCCTTTGGTCATCTGCCTGGAACCAATAATGAATTTAATCCTTCGCTGAGAACTGAGAGTTCCTTCTACTATGTAGAGTAATTGTATGGGGAATGGTAATGCTACCGTGTCCGGCAACCGCTTACAAATTGAGGACCTGCGTACCCCAACATGTGTATGAAAACATTTTACCACTTGGGCGAAACTATTGTTCGTCACAGTCGTCTCTCTTTACTATGTCCTGCAGGTGCTTACCGAGGCAACTGTTCACATAACGACTCACCGAAACACTAGTGAAGCGAAAGAATTGACCGTAAACGACGATCAGCATATGCTTTGAAGACATCCTGTCTACTGTATTGGTTAAAGCGACTTCGGATTCCCATCTAGGCTTCACTGTTTTGGCTATCGCATGCATGACTGGCTGAAATTTGACCACACAGCATGTATCGCGTTGCTACTCACGTGGACTTTCGCAGACCGGCATGCCATTTTATAGCATAGAGAGAGGAGGAACCACATGTATCCATCCTGGACTGCAAGCTTTCCTGAAAAGAGCAGCTCCAATTTCCGTTTGGGCTGCACGCAACTCCACACGCACATCCTCTCGCTTATGTTCGGGTATCTGTGGGCTACCGCTTCCTGGTCAGATGATTTGTAAGTGGCGACGCCACAGGATGAGTGGGGACACATTGAACAGTTCATCAGCCAGTGGTCAGCAACACTGTGGTCAGTTGCGGTGCAATCAGCCGCAAACTCAGTCGTCCGCATGAAAGAGTCAAACAACACAAAGATTTCCATATTGCATGACTACTATGTGCAACGGACAAATCGTGAGCTTAATGCCAAAATGGTGGAGCAATACTGGTACTTGTGTGCCGCTATGCTAGCAACTACCCAACATGATTATCAAATCCGTTCTCTCAAAACTGTTTAGACACCCTAGCTTCAGCAATATTGGGAGTGAAAACCAGCAGCGTGCCGCACTTTCAACATTCCGTGAACACAGAATAAACCTTCAGTTATCGCGGCAATTTGCCACCCCCTCTATTTATTTGAACTACGGTAACGTCCTTTGGGGTAGAGCTTCCTCCATAAGCGATAGCCTGTTTGAACTGTGTTCAAATGCGTTTTAACTTAGTCATCACATAAAATACATTCTAACTGATACAAATGCAAACCAGCAGTGGTTCAGAACTGTGATACTCCAAACTTTGCTCTCAGTGTATTTAGTAGAAGCCAAGCTTGGATGAGACAAATCGATGTGCATAGCATGCTTCGTCACTCGAAGATTACGCCGTCAGTCGAAGTTGCCTGCGTAAAAGCCCCGTGATAGATACACCATCTAAAAATGTATACTTCAATTTAATCCAATTAACCAGTTACTTAATCACATGATGCGCTTATCAACAGAGCACATTATATCCAATTTCAATGGTTTATATCGGGCAATTTCATAGGAACCAGAGGAAAGAGCTTGTTGAACTTGCTAGACTGACTTACGTCTAGAATAATACTTACAACTGGTACTAAAGCTCCGACATGATTACTGATCCAGTGCATGTTATTATTTCCTCTCCATAATACCCATTTCCCTTTAGTGGTTTATCGACTGATAAACAGCCACCTGATAAATTCTAGTGAATTCTAGTGGGCAGTTAACCTGCTGTTCGCTTACTACTTCTCAGTGACTAGGCAGTTCAAGACAAGAAGTTCATCCAAGCGAGTGAAATTGCGTCCAGCTCTCATGTGGCCCTCTTAGTCTCCTCAGTTGCGATCATATTAGCCTGATAACGAACCAATTAAAACCAGCTCGTTCGCCTACCTTTATTTCTGAAATCTTCTTCAGCAATTAGTTCACAGTAAATATGATGGTGCGTAACGCTCGCGCTTTGTTTAAAACACGCGTACTGCAGCGGAACTTGTTGAAAAACGGTATCATAGGATTCAATAGCAGTGAAAACATTCCACGTTGTAACCTTTTTGACTGTCAAAATAATACGAGTATGATGACTGAGCCCATAATGTGTTCACTCAAGTGAGGTCTGTACCAGTAGGAGTCGTAATATTTCATAGTTGGTCGTACACCTGTGACTACCTCGCCAACTCCTGTGATTTGATAGGCTTACTCTCCGAACAATGAGGCTCTAGTCCCCCATCGGTCAAACGGAATGCGTCCATCTAACCACTGCGGAAAAGCTGAAGTTACGGCCTTATGATTTATCCAATCTTTACCGAATTTACAGCCGCATGTGATGGTAATAATCCACTTTTGGATTCGATCCAGAAACCGATCAAGTTACGTTTTAACTTAACGGGTACCTTGTGTTACAGTTTATATGTTATCCCCTGTCCCATCTACCAATTTTAGGTGATCCAGCTTAAAAATGATCATATTGTCGTGCCTACTGAAGTCAGCCCCACACTACAGAAGGACTTTCTACGGCTAACGGCGCCACTTCTGAAACATCATTTAACCTCAATCGAACAGCACGCATCCGATAACCTGGATTTCGCTGATGATGCCACCCATCTCCGTCGTGTTACCGAAGGAAGTGGGACGTCTACGCTAGACAACTGTGATGAATTACATTCCTGTGCTGATTCTATACGGGAGCACGGTTTTCAAGCCTGTGGTCCACAGTCTCGGTTTGCCTTCGCAGGTCGCTGTTGGGAAAATAACAGTCCGCATTCAACTGTCTCTACAGATATAATCAATAAAGTGGATGAACCTGTCATAAATACGAAAGACAAACTCACATCAGACGCAGCTGCGATGGCCGCAACGGTGCTTGCCTGTGCTAAACAAAAACGTCATCGCACCCGCTTCACTCCTATACAGCTGACGGAATTGGAGAGAGCGTTCTCTAAAACACATTATCCTGATATTTTTATGAGAGAGGAACTGGCTTTGCGTGTTGGCTTAACGGAATCAAGGGTGCAAGTGAGCTATTCCTGTTCCCATATTATACAATGATTCTACTTAAGAACCGAGTTTCAACAGGATTAAGTCAGTGAATATTACACGGTGACGGAATGCAACACAAATTCCGTGTTGTTTTCAACGAACACAGATTCGATCACCTTTTAGCTGAAAGCGGACATTTTCAAGTTATTTTGCGGCGCCTAGCCTGTAAACCATAAATTACGTAAGCAAGTATTGTTCTGTTCCCTCGGAGACATTTTTAATTCTTTCTAGTCAGTGAGGGGATAAAAATGCTACCAAATGGCTCGATGCATTTGAAAGGAACGGTGGTTTTTGTCCGAAAAATTCAGTTTACTACCCTGTTTGACCGTTTGTCGAGCCACAGGGAGTAAATGACACCTCGCACTATCTCCTTAAATAAGTTCAACCGTATGAACTAATCAGTCATAAGGCATACAAGACTCAGCACACTGAACGGTTTCTCACATGTCTGCAAGGTTGTGGATTAGAGGTAACAGCCTCAAACCACGCACCAGATGTAGGGGAATTTTCTCCAACGATTTCACCCATTGTACGTATACCACTGAAAACCGCTCCGTCGAATAAGTAACTGCGATTCAGCCTATAAATGTCACAAAACATCTCTTTCGTTATATCCTCTATTATCTCAATTGTATGTTCAACACGTTTCTCCAACTAGCTTTGCTGCTTTGTGTGCCAGTAATTCTCTCTTTCTGTGGGCGATTGCCATTAACTTTAAATTACTTGGCTCTTATCTGCCGTATGCGCCCGACTGTCAACCAGATAGAGTAGGTTGGGTGCTGATCAACTAATATGGAACATTTATTCAATTTCGTACTCAGTTGCACTCACTGATGTTCTACTCTGATGATGATGATGAAGTTAATTCGCACGTCAGTTTAAGCCAAGATCTTTCGGCTGCCACCTGTACTAGCCTGACGATAGATGGTAATTCATTTCTGCAACATCAATTCCTCTTGATCTCTCTGTTATGAATCCAACCCCTTGTGCTTACAGCCGCTTCACCCGCAATTAGCTGTGCAGTTGTTAATTTTACTCGCGACCTCACATAAAGCAGTCCATTTTTATGGTTTTAGAAAAGCCCACTGAGTAACCAGCAGTCAGTGTAAGCGGATATATGTTCTCGATAACTTGGCCAGCATTGTACAATGATAAACAAAGCTAACTCGATCTGATAAGACTGAAGTCGTCAAAGATGTGCACATTGTCTAATACATACCGACAATGGCTGTTAATTTGGTCACCATCTCAGCCTGTACGTGATTCCACTAGGTAAATGCCGCGAAGCGATCGTTCCAGGGCCGATTTAAGGGGTTCGTGTAGCCGATCCGCGATAGTCGCAGCCCATTTTAATGTCCGTCTGTGTGCGGACTTCGATCGGCTTTCACGGAGCTGATAAGTTTTGTATGAACCAGCTGTTCTAGAGTTGTACCCAGTGTTGGCGAGATAGGCAAATACGGAGAGGCTAAGTACCTTTCTGCTTCTGGGATGGTGTTCTTTTATCCTTTTGAATAGACACCTAGTTGCATGACCAGTTCTACCTGCTCCTGCTGAACAGCTAAGCGAGTAAATACCTAAGGAGTTATCATTGAAAGTCATACTACCTTTGTGGCAAGAATTTACTCTTTGGCTGTTGGTAAAATGGCTATGTTGCTGGGAAAGCGCGTCTGAGCTCCTGTGAGAGACGGCAAGTAAGAATTTCCACGCCAGTCCTCTTGTACGGAACCTACAGGAACATTACTTTTCCACTGTCTGTCAAGATCGGTGGGGCCCGCTTCCCTTACGCCAGGTGTGCTGTTAAGAAACTGTCTGTGTACTCGCATTCTTACAGCCTCGAGCACATGCGTTGTAGTTCCACTGGAATTGTATTTTTCCTACAACTCTTTTCGCTCTAATGGTCAGCTTAAGAGTGGAATTCCGTTTCGACCTCAGTAGGACCAAACTGCGGAAGTTCGTGTGTTCAGCGTTTCACGTGCGTTTCACGTGATGCGGTTTCATATCACTGCCGCGTCATTTCAGGACCAATTCAAGAGAACGAAAACAGCCATTTTCTTCTACTGTCGCAGTAGAGTGCATCCTTTTGTGGGCCCAGCTGAAAGTTTGGTAAGATCTCCGATATTATGAGAGAATTGTGGCGTACCAAACTGATCAACACAAGATCAGTAGAAGTTCAGACTTTTAATGGTTGCTTTTAAACCGGCCGTTTAAAACGCGCAAAGAAAATATCGGTCCAAGTTAGTGGCTCATGGCAACAGCTTTGCTACCGGTATATTGTTCCGTTTTATATCACTTTGACATCGAACGTGTGTCTAAACAACAACGCTTACAAGGCCAAGTTGGGTATACAAATGTCCACCCCGCTCACAACACAGCGTAATCGCACACGCAAATTCTGATGTCGGTAAGTGTGTAGACAATGTGGTGACATCTGGAGAAGACCTGAGAAGACCTGTCCTTCTGGTCGTGCTCTGCTACCCGTTTTCGGATGCGCTCAAATAGTAAAACTAGTCACCGTGCGGTGGACAGGTACGGTGGAACCTTCATATCCAAACATGCTTTAGCATAACATTTGACTTATTCGATTTAAGCAGATTGGTATATACCTTTCATTATGCAGCCAGCGTTCTTCAGCTTCTTGAGACAGTTGAAGAGACTGCCCTTGGTTTACATTGTTATATCTTTCGTATTCACCGTTTTCAAAATCATCATCACATTTGCCAGTATGTCGTTCAGTTTATTGAAATAGTTCACTTTGTCTTTGTCTGGTCGAAAAAGCGGGATTTCAACATTTAATAAAACGCGTCAAAACTTGAGTATGTTCGGATCTCACGGGGGTGTTGTGTGTGTGATCCGGGCACGACGACATGGGTGACACACGCACTAGACATGACTCAAACCCCTTCACTTGCACACTGGAGAAGGAGAACAGTTCTGAGGACTGTGTGAAGAATTTTTTCCAACTCCACTTTAATTGTTAGTCGGTTATCGCTGTTACCCCCGACAACTAGAAAACAATATAAAGCTGTCATATTTACCAACACGAAACCCAAATTAAACCCTCACAAGCACTATACCATTTCCCGGCCAAGTTGTCCACTTGGGCAACCGAAATCATCTGAGGGGGCATTCAAAATGAGTCTACTCATTTTTCAGTGGTCAGGCCAGGTGTCAACTCGTCCTACTTCTCTATCATCGCCTAATACTAAGTACGTCCATTCGGCCGTGCATGTGCTCCCCGGTCGCCAAATGGAATACGCATGCGTTGGTGCAACAACACTGTTCACGACCAACTGGACGAGGCAAGTCACGGACTTTGGTATCCGATGGCAACAACCGGCGTTATGCACAGGGGACACTGATAAGTGTCATGAAATCCTGTGCTATGTTGCAAGGCTAGTGCAAGACTGACGTAACACGGAAACAGCAAATTCCTCATCCTTGCTATTGGGGATCGTGATACTGTGTCATCGCTTTGTAACAAGAGGACGCATCCAAAAACACAGACCTCTCCAAGTAGCAAGGATGAGGAATTTGCTGTTTCCGTGTTACATCAGTCTTGCACTAGCCTTGCAACATAGCACAGGATTTCACGACACTTATCAGTGTCTCCTGTGCATAACGCCGGTTGTTGCCATCGGATACCAAAGTCCGTGACTTGCCTCGTCCAGTTGGTCGTGAACAGTGTTGTTGCACCAAAGCATGCGTATTCCATTTGGCGACCGGGGAGCACATGCACGGCCGAATGGACGTACTTAGTATTAGGCGATGATAGAGCAGTAGGACGAGTTGACACCTGGCCTGACCACTGAAAAATGAGTAGACTCATTTTGAATGCCCCTCAGATTATTTCTGTTGCCCAAGTGGACAACTTGGCCGGGAAATGGTATAGATGTGCCATTATCCACTGGTTGGAGCTACCCTGCTTCCCGAAGTAATGGCACTGCAGTGACATGCTCTCCCACTTTTACCGCTGAAGTTTGTCAGATTCCGCCAGATTTACTGCATCGAAGTACCGGTTAATCGTGGTCGTTCATTACGGCTAGGTGTGCATGCGCCTAGTCCCCCGTCTTTTCTGTCAGTCGGACTGCCGTCCTGGTCTTAGGCTCCAAACGAGTACGTCATCGCTCTTCTCTAGTTATTCGTACACCACATCAATTGATGAAACTGATAACAATGAAATAGCCCACACCCAATGCTACTCCTCTAGATGGTTCTACTCTATCAGTATACACTTAGTGTCACTTTGCGCAACTAATTGTCCACTTAACTTGTGCTAGCAGTCTCAAACCATATCATTTTACTGCAATGCGATAAAGTTGTCAGCGCATTACGTACAATAATAACCTTTCTGAAAGTTCCAAACTGAGCAGTATGTAAACCTAGTATCTAGTATTTGCTCACTACACCTGAAAGGGAAATTGTCTTTTGCACACCACCGTAGAGCATTCAACAAAGCGTTACTGTGGTTTGACTTGGCGTTAAAGCCAAACTTCCCGGTCACTGTCCATTGGTGGATGATAGCGTATATAACTTGTCTCATTTCGCAACTGCGTTATCTCTGGAACATCCATGGACTGTAGAAACGTACAAATTAAATACGCTATTCATCGGTGAAAGAAATAATGTGACAGTGAACCACACAACGAGCCCGCGTTGCAATGAGGTAGATCAGTTGAATCCCCACGGAACCAGTGAGTTGTACTCTTCACTACCGATGTCGCTCATTTGACTACACGGCTTTGTCAGTCCTGTCGAGTCTATCTATTGATTCTCAGGAGGTACGACCGAGCACGCTTCCCATGGTTATGCCTGGAGTGCCAGAAGTCAAGCCACGGGTAGGGCTGTATTGATGATCCAACACAAGACATAGTCGATGAAGCAAAAGCACACCAAAACCGGTAAATCACCGCTGTATGCGCGTTCGGTTTAACAGGATCTGAAAGACAACTGGGAGTGTGTGTTTTGTGAACAAATGC